TGCTTTCCAGATATTTTGCACTACAGGTCCCATGAACGTGAGGCAGCATGGGCAATGAACAGGAATGCTAGGAAATTGTGGCCCAAAATGTCTGGAGGGCACCAGGTTGTTCAGAAATACAAATGTAACAGAACCCACATGTGCTCAAATGAGATGTAGGGGGGAAAGCTAAACATTTAAGCATTGGATCCAATGATGTAGACCTGCTAATGGAAGCAATTCCATCAGTGGAACCATGACGGAGTGAATCCCTCCCATACAGTCCCCCACCCTTTCAAAATCTGCTCCAGAAATCTGGAAAAGCCTCCTAAGTAGATTTCCAGGGAGAACAGAGAGCTGCAAGGAATAAGGCTCCATTATGCTAGTGGACTTACAGCATAACAGTGGTGCTGACACTTCTTGTACAGCCTATCGATCACCCAAGCTGTTTTTTAGTTAAATATTTGTAAGACAGGCATGTTATGTTTATTAGGCTCCCAATCATTTATAGTTTTTCTTAAAACTTTGCACATAGTCACTGCTCAACAGAATTCCTCCCTCCCTCCCTCCCTCCCTGGAGACAATTGTGGGGGCCAGATCCAAGTCTTCTGTGAAGGGACCTTTTTAGAGCAAAAAGGGTGTGCAGGTGAAATCAATGGACTCTTTTTGTCCCTTCTGCATCCCCATCCAGAGCTCCAACTATCCCTTCTCAGAGCTCAGATGTGGAACAAAGTGCTCAGGGGCGGCAGATGCAGACTGCAGAGGTCAATGCTTTAGGAGGAGGCACTGCTTGCAGTCCACTCATGCACCCATTTTGACCTAAACATTTGACAACCAATCCCACCCTGGTTTATGCATAACTGGGACAGATCCTGGTTTAAAGAAACCTGTCATCTGGTTTGGTCCTTAGCCACCAGCAGCTTCTGATTCATAAGCTAATAACCTTTCTTTTGGGCTTTAGTTTGGGTCAAACTGAGCGGTTCGTCCTTTCTTTATCTCACTAGATGCAGCACAGCCTGGGGAGTAAGGGTGATAGGTTCTGTTGATACTCATTTTATGAATGAAAAATAAGATTAGTTGTACTGATGCTGCTGGACCTCAGGAGAACCTGTTAGCAAAATGGTGCATGACCAGTGCTTAGAGCTCAGTTAACACTGATATATATCAACAGGAGGCCAAGATCTTCACAACTCCCAGGGAGGCTGATCTAGAGCACTGTAGCCTAAGGCTGCAATCCTAATCTTAAGTATCAGGAAAATTTACTCAGTAGGATTTATGTCTGCATAAACCTGCTTAGGAACATGCTGTAAGTGTTGATGAAATTGCATTGTAGAGCTGCCACTGAAACTACTTTGCTATTACATGTATACAGGCTTGAAGCTTCCATTACATCACACCAACTTCAAGCCTATTTTAAGTGCTTTGCTTGGTACTGGCTGCTGGTTCAGAACCTAAACTGGAATGTTTTCTAGCGTTAGCTTCCTGGAATTCAATAGTCTTCCTTTACTGGCGAAAAATCTCCTTTTTCAAGGCAAAAAAGTACTCCTGCATTGCTCGCTTACCCAAAAACCCTATACAGGCCTTGTTCCTAAGGCTGTTCCAAATCAACTACATGGCTTTGAAAGTTATATTTTATAGGAACAATGGCTAATGCATATTCATAATAAATATGTTTTAACTAATATGACATAATGGTGAGAAGATGAAGCAGGGATATTATTTCTTCTGTCTGAAGCAAGAAACCAAAAGCAAGGCCTTGTAAAACTTTGCCAGTCCCTGACACTGATCCTAAATGCTGTCACTGGCATTGCAAATTTAAACTTTTCTTCAGCTTCCTGTGGTTGTACTTCCTGTGGTGTTAAATCAAAGTACTTTTTACATTGTGATCTCTGGTTGTGACTAAGCCATAAAAGTGTCAGATTCAGCAAGAGAGAGAAAGCGCACATATTGTGAGCTCAGTATCACAGGAAATCAGAAAACCATGTCAGACCTCAAGGAAGCTGTTTGGACTGGATGAACAAATGCACGACCATATTGTGCAATTAAAAAGCATGGAAAACTGCATACTTTTCACCTATTTTACCAATACCCCAAATATTCTTCTCTAACTAGTTCTTAGATGCATTTGTCTGCTCCATTTCTGCACACGATATAAAGGTTCATTAATTTACTATATACTAGCCTATTTCCACATCAGCTTTGTGATGTCAATTAAATCACTACTTTTCCTTTCATAGGTTAGGGCATGAATGTATAGGACTTTCCCATGCGCCCCCATTTTGTGCTGCAATGCAGAACCACCAGTGCAGAAAATGGTACCAGTGCAAAAGTGAAATACTGCATGCACCAGCTCACCCCTTCATTTGTGCTGAATGTTGCACTAAATCTGCCAGGAACAGAAGGAGAAAAACTTTGGTTTGTTTGCACTGAATCTCTGCTCTGCTCTACTCTGATGAGCTCTAAACAAGGAGCTGTTAGATTGTTCTTTTGTTTAGCACCTTTCCATAGAAGATGACTCACCACTATAAACTGCTATTGGAATGATAAAAGGGGGAAAATATGACATGCTTGGTATTATCTCAGTACTGTAATAATATTTAATATGGCTAAGCTGTATTCGGTTTTTCTTAAGTACAATTTAATTGTAAATTGTGATGTTTTTAAACGTAAAAAAAACCCCATCTCTGACTCATCCACTTGGCAAGGTGTTAAATGCAAGAATGCCACATAAAATGAAAAAGATGCAGTGAATTTCTCAAGCTGACAACTAATAAAAAAGAAATTGCTACAGCTAATTACAGCATTCCCTAGATAAATTTTTACATGTGGATCTGAATGCCACCACAGTCAAGGAGTTTAGTTACATCCATGTCAATGCAAATACATTTTTGTGTTCTTGTATCCCACACAAATCTTTGTATCTGCATCTATAACATAGGAAAGGTTTTTATTAAATTCTCATGTTTATGCACTAATTTTAACCTCATTTCTACATGAACTAATCTTTCCTCTAAATCTGTCCAAGACACTGTTAGTATAGCTGCTGTGCAATAATAACTTGAATGAAAATTTCTCAATAGACAAATTATTGAGGGGGAAAATGGACCAAAGTAATGGGAAATGCAGCTCCTAGAATCCAAATATTTCTGTTCGGTTGGCTTTCTCTAATTCTCTTACATCAGAGTAAGCATCACACTTACAGAGAAGCCATGACAGACTTCTGAAGGTAACCATGAGAGTTGCATCTGATTTAAGAGGCAAGGCAACGAGTAGCTTTTTAAATCTTCCATTCACCCAAGTAAAAATCCATTCAAGTTAAAAACCTATTCACTGTTCTGTTGCTTTACAAGATCAGTATTTGCTGTACTGTAGCACAAAATTCTGAAATGCATTCCTTTCCCACTGGTATATTGAGATACCTAGTCTCCGAAGCTCATACAGCCTTACAGTTATTTCCAGAAACTGGAGATTAGATCATAAGTGTCTACCATTTGTTAACTGCAGTGGTATTCACATGCCCAGCTACAAGGATCCCCAGAGCAAAACCACTCTTCTTTCAAAGAACAGAATGTAGCAGTGGGTAGCTGATCTCAAAGAGCTGAAGGTTCTCCATGTGAAGAATGATAAAGGGCAGCTGGTTCAAGTAATTCAAGGGGTTAGGCTGCATTTTTTTAAAGTTGTTTGATGAAATGTTGGTGTTAACATACCTCATTAGTCTTTTTTAAATTGTAGCCTTGCAACCCAAAGCAGATGTGCATCAAGAGAGGGCAGTTTCAGACCAGTTGGAGGGGAAATTTATTTACAACTGGATCTTTGGGCAACCCTGTTGCATTTTATGTAGGCAACAGAAAATTTAAATTCAGAATATGATGTGAATTTATAATGGGCAACCCCAGTGAACCATTCAGGTTAAAATCTCTGGTCATAGTCCTTGAGTTTGAGGAAATGTGAAAGAACAGGCACAAACAAGAGCAACAAGTTCTCGTTAACATAAAATTTAGGGATAGTTCATCACACGCATGGATAATGCTTGATCTCATTGCTTGTTGATCACCGTTGAATGTATCATGTTAGAGCTGGGTTTGGCTGATAGGAAAAATCTTTCTACATTATTGAGCCATGTAGAATCTTCTAAGTCAATGTTGCATCAATGGCAGAAACATATGAATGAATAAACCAACTGATCGTTTGAGATGGCCATAAGGAAGAACCTGTGAGCTATTCTTCTCAGTAGTTCACCTCCCTTAAAATGGTAGAAAGTATTGCACTCATTATTAAGAAAAAGGAAAGACAACATTGACTCTCAGGGCAGTTTGTGTATCAAAAATTTATATTGTAAGTTTATTATATGTAGTCTCTATTTTCCCTGCCATTTAATCTTTGCTTTATAAATATGTATCCCAAGTGAAACAGCAGTCAGAAGAGCTGCTATTCTGAATGTAGCTGAGGCTCTCCTATGCTGTATGGGCTAGATGGGACCACATCTCATCATAAATGGTTTGGCAATGGGCAAAATCTATACTGCTGAAACCTCCATCACATGGCAAGCCCAGCTCCTGCTGTCCCTTTGCATCCAAGTTCTCTACTGAAGTAAATATCCACCAGCTGACAACCTGTCTTCATTGCTTTTCTTTTGTATCCCAAGTTCCCCAGTACTGATGGACAACCACACCCGGAATACAGCCCATTGAAACCAATGAAACAATTTAGCCATGACTAACTTAATCCCTTTTGCTTTCAGTGGGTCTACTCACAGCATAACTCAAGTCAGGATTCAATGCAGTGTTTCCCTTTCTTGATCCTGAAGCACCATCATGTCCGTATTTCTTCCAGCTCCTGTACCTTAATCCAAGTAAGACCTGGTTACTCAGTGTTCAACAAACATAGTTCATGTCTGGCTAAAAGGGCA